GCGAGATCAGAACCAAATTTTCATTATCATTTCGTTAGCGATTTTCTACAGAAAAGATAATTCTAATTCAATAAAGGAAGGGCAGCGTGATGGTGATTGTGTTTAGCCGAACCGAACTGACGATGCCCAGCTTGCTCGCTTCCCAAATCGTACTTGGTTTGCCCATCGCTTCTGGTATGGTCCATGGAAGACGGGCTATAACACCCAAAATAAATGACACAATAAAGAGTTTTTTTTCCATTAATTTGCCCTTTGAGTGCATGAAGTGGTTTAGTCTATTGGTGCATTTTTAAATGAAGAATGAGCCATCTGTGTTCCACACAGATTCACTGTTTGTTATTGTTGAAAGAAACTTTGTTTTTATCAAACTGACTGCTTTATTATTCAAGAGAAAAGCACTTACTGCGTCCTGCCATGAGTCCATGTAAGCTGTATCCACGTCTTGCCTTCCATCATCCAGAGAAGGATACGCTAACACTAAAATCAGAAACTTGATCGTAATTCTCTATAAATGCACGCAGATCTATGTTTCATTACTCTTGGAACTCCTGGGAACTGCACCTAACATTGGTTGCAAGAATCTGCCCGTTAATTTCATTTAAGGATTGAAAGGATGGGCAGGAAAAATTCTATAGAATGCTTCGAATAGTGAGAACTACTCAAAAGCAGGGAAATCCAGATAAAAAGTATAAGGCTAGAATTGAATGTCATGAAAGTACGTTTAAGAAGATGCAACTCATCAAAAAACTACTGGAGTATATGTGAAGTATTGTATCAAATTCTCTTAACTGACATCAATCAGTAGAGCAAGAGGAAAGCGAGTTGTGACACTTTTAATACACTTGAAAAAGTTAATATGCTAGCAGGGTAGATATGCAATAGCCATTAGTTCCAAATGTGATTTGCTACAAAAACTTCTTATACGTTATAAAATTCGATACCATAGGAAGCAATCACATAGATGATTAGATACCGAAATTATATGGCATTCGATAACGTCTGCTATTATTCATTAGTCCACTGATGAAGTAGTATTCAGCGTCAAATGTGGGTTTGTGTAAGTTATTTATCAAAATCTTGCCTGAAAAACTTGGAAATTGCTCTCAGAATATAGCGCAACTCTTAGAAAAGCCTTTTTCTTAGTTCCTTCAAGATAAAAGCTATTATGACATATAGAGTGAGCTCCAATCGTAGGTAGTGGAGAGTTGCGAGGAGCTTGAATTCCTCAACCGTGACGAAGACACGAACTCGGAGAACAATTGAATGAAAGCAGAAAGGGAAGAGTATGTAGTTCTGACCGGAAAACGCTGAAAACGGCTAGAATCCCATCGTCTTTGAAGAGCTTTACTGCTCGAAGCTCATTCGTGGTCTTTTGACGAAGAGTAAGTACTCAGCGCAAACAAACAACTTGGGAACAAAAAGGAAATTTTCTCATTTCCATTGTTCTGAGGAACTTTAAACCTAGTTTTAGCTTGAGTCGCTCAACATACAACTTGATGGGTTAAAAGCTAAGCTGACGTCCTCGATATGAGCGTTTATTTTCTATGAACATGGTGTTAATCTCTTTCTTCAACAACCAACAAAAAGAAGTAGTTCAATGAATGTCGCAGTTTCAAGCATTCCTACTTACTGG